GGAAGACAAGCATTGTATGACGCAAAGACAATGTCACACGCATCGTAGCGATACAACCACACTTCATGTGTAAAGGCCGATGTGATGCACATCGCGAGTCGGAGGTCGGATGCATCTCAGTGCAGATGAAAGGAGGTGAACATGACGTCAGGCTCAGAGGATGTTGTAGTAATCCAAGAAAACACAGTGAAAGGTGTACTACTGCAAAGTACGACTGATCCTTTCCATGTTGACCTTCATCTACGTTCATCCTCCTTCTTCAATCGTGGCTTCCGTTCTGATAACCATTTGAAGAGAAACTTAGGAGGCGACACTCTCAGTCAATACCGTCACGCTGGAAAGCCCCGACATTTATCGAGTCGATAGAAATATCGGAATTCTCCGCGCAACAAAATATGTTGTCGCGTAAAAATTAACTGAGTAACAAGTCAAAGAATTAAATGCTTCAAGTCTGCCTCACAACTCCCTTTTTTTGGGAACCCTGTGTAACTTTTCTCCTTCCATAATTTTCCAGATATATTATTGTGCTCGTATGAGACGCGCCTGAAGGTCTGCCTTAGAACCGCTCACTGTTAGGCCCATAGCCCTCAATTCCGCCCGCAGATCTACCACCTTCATTCCCTCAATCATCGAAGGTGACAATCTCATACTTTCCCTCCCGCGTCCTCCGACCGTTGGTGCTACGACTTTCGTATTCCTCTTTTCTGACTTCCCCTCCGCGAATATATCTTCCTGTCTTTTTCTACCCGTATTTACAAGCTTTTCGATTTCTTCAAATTCATCCAGCTCTCCCAAATCCACTTCATCTAACAATGACCCCCATTCATCCTCGTTCCTCTTGACCCGGTTCTTTCTTGTCTTTCCTTCCATTTCGCCTTTCTGGCCAACTTTGCCTGCAAACAATGTATCAAGTTTCTCCAGTTCCTCTAAATCACCTACGTCCTCAAAACTATTAAAGATATCCTCATTCCCGCTGTTCACGTTCTCTTCCGCTAAAGCCCGCATCCAATCTCCTTTATCTCCTTTCCTTCCATCACTGCTTCCCCCTTTCCCTCCTGGCCTGGGATTAAGGGACATCAACTCCCTCCCTCCACCCAAGGGGTCATCGTATATGTAGCCTTGCCTCATCCCACCCATTCCGCCCCCTCTAGGGCGGCCCAAGTGGACAGATTCCTCCAGCCCCTCCTCCAAAAACTGACCCGGAGCTTCTTCGGGATCTTCGCTGTAAGCGCCCAGAAGTAAATCGTTCTCCCTCGTCTGCCCTCGATCGCTGCTCCTTCTCCCTCCTCCCCATTCCTCTTCATCGTCGCCGCCCTCGTCTTCGCCCTCATTTCCTCCTTCATCCTCTCCCTCAACAGTCCGGCTAACAAATAGACGCCTCTTTCCCGAGGCTGGCAGCGTCTCGTCATTCTCTCGCCCGTCCTCCTCTTCCTCTTCCCCTCCCCTGTGTCCCGTATTCATTCTGGCATCCTGACTCCTCGACGAAATGGGAGGTATCTCGGCCTCCCCCCCCCGGCCCCCAACGTCCTCCAGAGCCATACTTAACAGAGACGCGCTGTCCAACCCCGAAGATGCTTCAATCTGAGACCCCTTCTTTCCTCTTTTTCCTCCTTTCGAAGGCCGGTAAAGCTCCGAGAGGAAACTGTCGACTCCTACCGCTGCTTCCAGCCCCTCTACCCCCAACGAAGGGATTCGTGGTGCTGTTCCGCTGCCCCCCTTTATCTTCGACCCCCTCTCTCCTCCCCCTGCAGAGGCACTGATTTCTGCCGCCTCGAGTTTCGTCAACAACTCAGCTAATTCTCGATCTACCGCGTCTTCCCCCTCTGCCTTTTCCCTTCCTCCCTCCTTTCCTCCTTCAGTACCCTCCTCCCTTCCGCTCTTTGTTTTCTCAACCCGCAAGCCATCTGCCCCCTCCTTGTAGTCAGCGTCGAAGCGATTCAGCCATTCGTTCAACTCTTTTTCTTCCTCCGGATCCAACGAAAAGTCTTTTCCCTTCGCCCCGGAGGGGGGCTTTGTGCGCGGCTGCCCTCCCATTCCCGGCGAGGGAGTGAACGAGGAGGAGGGGAGCGAGGCAGGGCCTTTGAAGAGAGACAGTGCAGAAGGACTGGAGGAGGCGGAGGTCCCTCTCCCACTCGAAATCATTCCCAACCACACGTCCAATTCCTTCTGTTCCTCCTCGCTCAAAGTTCCTCCCCCGGCCCCCCCCCCACGCCCCTCCCCCGCGTCCTCTTCCACCGAATCGACCTTCCCGCTCTACTCCACCTCGACGCTGAGCCTCTTCTGGCGGGGTGCTGACAGGAGATGATTGGATCAAGGCATCCAATTCATCGTCCCCCACGCGTGCTCTCCCTCCCTATCCCCCTACCCCTCTCTTTCCCTCCCTCCCTTCCTCCCTCCCTCCCTCCCCTCCTCTCCGCGCCCGGCGTCTTATCCAAGTCGAACATCAGCCGGTCTAAAAACTGATTTTCTAGTTCCTTATCCTCTCCCTCCTCCTCCTCCTCATCCCCCCTTCCACCCCTTTCTGCCCGCGGCACCCACTTTTCCTCCACCCCGGTGCCCTGACGGTCCCACCCTCTCCCTCCTCCCTCCCTCCCCCCCTCCCTTCCTTCTACCCAGCTTGGTCCTTTCCAATTGTCATTGTGCTCATCGTAGCCCATCGCCTTCCGACGCATCGCCCGTTCACGCCCCGCTTTCCTCCGGGCATCTTTTTCCTCCAAATAATTCTTCCAAGCCTCCCACGCCTTCTTCGCATTCTCAAACTTTTCTCGGTAGTACCCATCCACATCTTCCTTTTGCCCCGTCAACTCCAGCATCCCATTCACCATCTCCTCCACCTGGGGTGGCTTGTTCGGGTCGAAGTTTTCCAAATTCACGTAGTCGCTCAAAATCCGGTATAAGCTCGGTCCTTTCCGGTCCGGCGCCTTCTTCTTCTTCTCTCGCACCACCTCCCCTCCCCTCCTTTCTCCTGAGAAGGCCACTGCATCGCTATTGCTCCGTGCGATCGCCTCCCACCCGTCCACCCCCCCCCCGCGGGCCCGGTCAAACGCCCGGCGTCCCTCCTCCCCGGCCTCCCTCGCTTCCTGATCCAGCTCTTCCTGAGTGAGCTTCCGGACCCCTGATTGAGGCAGCGTCACCCGCACTTCCACCTTGTTCCGCTTCACAGCCACATTCACCTCGGTCTCCTTCACGGACGTGACCCGTCCACGGGCATAGGCAAACTCTCCCACCAGGATGTCCACCCGGTCCTTGGGCCGGAAGGGGATCGCCTCCAGGTCGATGGTGCGACCGGCTTCGTACAGGGCCCGCTCTTTCAACCGATCTGCTTCCTTGGCCCGGAGCGGGTTGGGGATGATCCCTTTCCCCGCCACGCGCCGACCGATGAAGCAGCCCACGCCATTGGGAGCCAGCACCGCGTCGTGGAGGTCGCGCGACATGGCCATGTGGATGAAGACGTAGCCGCGGTGCAAGGGCTGTTCGACCAGGCGGAGGGACTTCCCCAAAGACTTGACCGACTTCGCCATGGGCACCAAAGTCTCCAAAATCTGGCCCCGGTACTGAGGGAGGGTGGCCAGCTCACCCAAGGTGTCGCGGATCTGGATTTCCATGCCCGTCTTCACTTTCAACGCATACCACAAAGGCACCTCCCGGTCGGGAATCACGTCCTCCGCCTCGTCCAACATCGCCTCCCGGGCCCCTTTCTTCTTGGTGATCCGCTCCCGCCGGCTTTGCTTCCGACGCTCCCATTTTCGCGCTACTTCCTCGATCTCCGCCTCCGATATGCTGTCCGCGTGGGGACGAGTCTCGCGATCATCGCCAGGGTCAACCGGTCCCACAGTGTATCTGTCCACGGCAGAGGTGGCGGCACGGGAGGGAGGAAAAGATGGTATGGAGCCGTCTTGTTCGAAAATATCGCTGCCGGAGGTGGAGGTTAGAGGGGAGGTGTGGAGCGAGGAGAGGGAAAATAGCCGCGGACTCGATCCAGCGGGCAGGACGCGCTTGCGCGGATCCGAGGCGCCAGGCTATGGTTGAGGAAGGAAGGAGGATGTGGCACGAGAGAGCTGAGTGGATCAAAAAAAGAAAGCAGGGGTAGCGGCTCTGCAACAAGAGATATTTCTCATAGAGCAGGAATGTCGAACTGCACGTGAGGGGTGAACCAGACCACACATAGCGCTGCAGGACAATGTACCACAATGTACTGCTTTACGATCTGCTGAAAACCAAAATGAGCGCTCCCTAAAGCATCGCAGCGTCAACTTACCAGTTGAAAAGCAGTCGAGAAAGCCGTGCTGCAGCACACCTTGCCTGCCACGACAAGACCGATGATCAGCCACATTACCCTCCCAGTATGTCGATTACCGGTAAGCCTTCCACTGCTTACGCGTGGCCTGTCATGATCGTGGCTACCCATTTTTGTCCTCTCCCAGCGCGCTATGTTGCACCCGCGCCTCGGCGCGTTGTTTGCATCCACCATTCTCCACGCTGTGTATCTTGAGCACTTCAGCGCCCAAATGCTTACCACCGACTCCAAAGCGTACCCTGTTAAATGACAGCTTTTGAGTAAGCCCTTGTCCTGTTTCTATAAATTCGTACGCGATGATAGAACGTGGACGGGAATAACCAAGGGCACAAAAGGAGGCAAGTTGCAGTCCGAAGGCAAGTTGCTGCAGCCGTCCACTCGGAGAGGAAAAAGGGTCTGCTTGCGTTCAAAGCCACTCGCAGGCCTATCCCACGCCACGATAACAATGCAACCGTATGGTTCTCAACAAATCAGTCATTCCATTGAAATAGGGTCGGGTCGAGTTTATATTTAAGTATGTGGTCAAAGACAAGGAGTGGCAATGCCTCATTCCTCTCTGGGAACGGGCGAGCAGGGAGACTCGCCCCCTTCGGCCCTCCGCTTCGGGTGCCACTTTCCTTTGAAAGCAGGCGTCCAACCATGGCGAATTTTCTCTCCATCTTAAAATTTTCTGTTTTCCTCCAGTTTCTAGGTTCTAAACAGGTGAAAATAGTATTGCTGCAGGCCCTAACGTCCAGCTCAGCCATGCCCCCCCCTACTCCGCCACCTCGAATTGACAACCCTTTAGCGGCCGTGGAAGAGGAATGTGAGCATGCTGCCTGTAAATCCATGCTCGATTTGCTAAAAAGTGCCGCCGGTATGTCGAAATCTGGTGCTACTTCCTCGTCTTCACCCTCCCTGGCCTCGTCCACCCCTTCAGCTGCCTCCTCTGACGAGGCAGCTTGGCGGAAAAACCATTGTCCACTCGACAAAGACACGTTGGGCGACATGACATGGGGTGTGCTTCATTCTACCGCAGCGTATTATCCCGAGTCTCCCACACCTCAGGAGCAGTCTTTGGCTGCGGGCCTCGTCCATGGAATTGCAGGTCTGTACCCGTGCACATACTGCCGGACAGATTTCGAGGAATGCATCCAAGCACTCCCTCCCCGGGTGGAGAGCCGCGAAGCCTTCTCAGTTTGGGTTTGCAAGCAACACAACCTCGTGAACGAGAAACTGGGAAAACCCGTCTTTCCCTGTGACTTGAAGAGTTTAGATCGACGGTGGAAGACCGGGGAGCCGCGGTGCTGGGGAGAAAAGGGAGGAGAGGATAACAACCACAGACAAGCGGGGGCGGACTTGACTCCTGCAGGGGCACATACAAAACAACAAGAGCACATACCCTCTGCGCCATCCCCGTTGACCAGAAGGAAAAGCAAATTTTATATCATCGAACCTGGGGTGGGGAAGAAAAAAACGGGCCCCTAGAGGGTCTCTCATGGAACTCAACGTGTTTCAGAGTGTATGGTAGAAGAATGCAGCTTGTAATCAAAGCATATAGTGCAAGAAATAAGTAGAAGACAGAAGCACGTCGCTCATGTGCAGGGATGGCTAACCCGGTCCTCGTTGCTCCTGCCCGTTGTGGCCAATTCATTCGCCTCGCTGGCGCATGAAGAACACGAGGTAGATACTCACGATTTTCTTGCACATACTGTACAATTATTCTCCACGCTCACAGTGGTAGCTGGACAGTCTGGTCATTCCACCTTTTTAACCTCCTCAAGTGCACCCGCCAAGCCCGCCCTCCCCCCCAGAAGATCGGAAGCTCAAAAAACCTTGATCCACCTTGCCCTTTAAGGCTTTGACATGCCCAACGGTCTCGCAGGGGACCAGAAACCGCCGCAATCCTCCGTCTACTCCCCTCTGTACATGCAGCACCAGTCCAAGTCGCTCCTCACTTCGTGTTGGCACCTGGAGCTCCGCGAGCACCACCTCTTTCCACGAGAAAGAATAATGCAAAATTCCTTCCTCATTCAAAATTAATACGCGGGCAGTCGACAAAACAACAACTCCTCCCCGATTCCTTCCAGTTTCTGCGTAATCACAGTACCACTCCTCTTGTCTTGCTAGCAAGCGCTTTCCTCCTTTCCTCCTTCCCTCCCTCCCTCGCACTCTCTCGAACAGCGTTTGTGCCTGCGCATCCGCCATATCATACGGTTTTAACCTCCTCTCTTCCCCATACACGGCCCTTTTCGGCCGCAATTGACTCAGGGCTTCCGCCGTCAAGGCCGCGCCGGCCGTTCCCTGAACGCCTTGCAACACGTCGCTGGCTGCATCCGCGAGACCGACCACCGGTTTGACCACCAGGCCCAGCACCCCTTTCCCCATTCCTTTCACCATCCCTCGAAAGCCTTCCCGTTCCGCCCCTCGAACCGGTGCGGCCACCACGCCCGTTACTCCGTCCACGAGCCCGCGCATCAACCGCTTCCCTCCTAGTCCCAGGCCCTCCAAGACGTCCCCGGGTCTTCCTCCTCCGCCTCCTCCTCGTGACCCCTCTCCTCCCCCCCCTCCTCCTCCAGCCTCCCCCTCCCTCCCTCGCTCCCTGGCCAATCGGTACTCCTTGTCGAATGCCAAGCAACTCAATTGCTTACCCACATTTTCCATCACGCAAGACGCGGAGCTTGCCACGCCCCCGACTGTGTGCTTCAAAAGTGAATCCGTTCCTCGTCCTAGGCCTTGGAAGAAAATCTCGGGATCCAAGAGCTCCACGCTTCGGACCAGACTTTGTATGGGCTGGGACACAAAGTCACTAGCGCCTTTCCCAATCCCTCGGATCAATGTGACGGGTTTGCCCAAGGCTCGGAGGGAGCCCAGCATAGAGAATACATGACGCTTGACCTCTCGGGCGTAATGCACCCGGGCCAACCACAACAAATGTGAGGCTGGGGTTAGGAGGAAGGAAACCTCGAAGGGGTGCAAATTCAAACGCGCTTCGTCCAGGCGGTTGAGCATGTCGGAAAGCATTTTGTTGGGTTTCAAGCCCACGTACACATCTTCCGGAGATTCGCGCGGCCGGGACAAGGAAAGATTGACGGACAGCGGCTCAATGCGCAATTCTTCCACCAGAACTTTAACCCCTTGCTTTGGCTTGCGTTGTTTTTTCCGTTGGATTTCCTCATGCAGATTACGACCAGGAGTCGGGCTTCCTCCGCAGCCTTGTCTTACGACCTCTGCTTGGATGGGCGGGACATAAAGTTTGGCCACCTCTGCGGGGCTGTCCCTAGATGCATCCTGACAAGGGAGATACAGGATCTTCCCCACCGCCTCAGTGCCCGCTTCTCCCTCCCCCTTCATCCTGTGCCCCATGCGCTGCACAGCCAAGACTGTGGATTGATCCAGGTTGAGTATGACCCGGCGAATGTTCACACGAAGCATGCGGATGTGTGCAAAGAGGGAGGGATGGGGAGGGCCAACATCCATGTCGAAACGGACGCTTGGAGGGCGGGAGGAAAGGGAAGAGGGAGAAGAAGACGGGTGAGGGGCCAAGAACGCATGTTCATCATCCGCTGGCCGCAAGACGACAGCGAAATGTGCCCGGGCCATATGATTATCCACCTGGAAGGAGCCTACAGTCAGCCGGGACCGGAGGCCTCCTCTTCCCTCCTCTCCTCCCCCTTTCACGGCCTGCGCCACCACGTCCTCCAATCCCAGCACAAGCACCTCCTCGGGCGTGTCATCCACTAGGGAAAGGATGACAGCAGGGAGAGCCAGACGCATCCGCAACACATCCCTCATTTTCTCCTTTCTGCCCGAAGGGCTAAGTTGCAGGTCTGTTCCTACAGACCGTCGAGTCTTGTCATGGCCGCGATGCCGAAGGGAACTCAGGGAAGACGCTTTGGTCGAAGAAGGCGGCGGTGAGGAAGACGGCACAAGGTCCAAGACACGCAAGATCTTGGCAGGCCCATTCATCACAACTTGCACCGTGACGCTGTGTGCCCCCTCTCTCCCTCTCGTCGCACTTGCCCCCCCCGAAGCAGGGATTTCCAGCGTACGCGATGATCCCACGGCACCTGGAGAGACGATGACTGTGGACGCCGTCGTGCGCCGCAATGACGAAGTGGGGGGAGCTAAGGAAAGACGCAGGTGGCACATCCTATCTCCTTCTCCATCGGCCAAAGCCCCTCCCTCGCACCCGTCTGCTCCATGACCTTCCCATGATGATGGTAAAGGGTGATCCCACCCTACGATTTGCGCGTGGGCGGGAGGAAGGGCGTCTTCGACCTCGCCCCCAGCTTGCCCGTACCAGACAGTCACGCTCGACCGATTCTCCAGCCACAACAAGGGTGCCCCTTCTCCATCCTCCTCCTTCTCCTCCCCCCCACGCCTTCGTCCTGATTCTTCCCCCTCCTCCATATTTCCGTGAGTTCCCTCAATCAGCGCATATCGAGGGCGACGTATCTCCCGCAAGGAGATGGACAGAGCAGCCTCCACGTCTTCTTCCTCCTCGTCCTCTTCTCCCAACGCCACTTGCACGCGTACCAGGCGAGGAAGGGGAGCCGAGGCCGAGAATGACGGAGAGGGGACAGAGGGGCGAATAATCACCGGGGTATCCGACAAAGCAGCGATGTCGATCCCCCCAGACGACGAGTAACGCACATTCCCCGCCGTGCCTTCGGTGGGCAGGGTGTCAGAAATGGCGGGAAAGTGGGAGGGCGGAAAAGAGAGGACCAAGAAGGACTGCAAGCGAAAATTTGGCCAATGGAGAGGACGACTTTCCCCAGGGACCAATTCCATCATGAACTTCTGTTCCCCGGCCTCCCCTTTCCCTGTCGCGGGAGCGATGGGTGGGACCCGGGCCCCTAATTGCCCCACTAAGACCGGCCGTGCTCCCTCGTTTCGAAGAACGTATCTGGCTTGTATAGTTACCAGTCGAGTCCGATCCCAGGGAGGAGGCAAGGTCGTCACCCGGTAAGCGAGCTCGTAGAGCGTGTGGCAGAGGCGGCTGTCTTCCAGGACGGCGCCCCATCGATTCCCAATCACCTGGAAGGCCCCTCCTGCGCCCTCCAGACTCACGTCCAGGGGAGGGGACCACCGGGAGTCTCCGATTTTCAGGACGAGTTGTTGGATAATTTGATCATTTCCCTGCTGTTGACGAGAGGTGGGCGGGGACACTTGAGTGTGAGGAGACCGACGTTGTCCGTGGTGGGAAGGAGGAGTAGATAAAGAAGAGCTGGAAAACGTTGCTGAAGATGACAATGTGGAGGTTACCGATCGAGCGCGCGGCTGGAAAGGCAGCACGCCCGGCAGAAAGAGACCTTGCCGCACCCCATTTCCTCCCTCCTCAGCTGGAGGCACCTCCACGTCCCTGTCCTTAGATGCTACCAACGACCGTCGCCGCAGCCAGCGTCGACGCCAAATCCGATCTTTGGCGTTAAAGCATCGAGCAGGTTTGAAGGCATCAGGGAAGTCCAAACGGCTGCTCTCCCACCCTTCCTCTTCCGAGACCTGCCCTGACCCGTCAACTTTCCAGGCAGGGTCCCTCCAGGCCCAGGTCCTCGATGACGGCAGGCGCCATTCCTCCTTCGGGAGCAAGGGACGGCCCAGCTCGGTGCCCCATCGAGTCTCCACCTCTTGCCTGCCCGCCTGCCTCCTGCCCTGCACCCGAACCTCGAACACCTCCTCCACTATCTCTCCTTCTTGCACGGCGGACATTACCACGTCCGTTGTCACTGGGCCTCCGAGGGTTTCGACCGCCCTCCCTCTCCGTGGCTCTCCGTAAACCAAGCTCAAGCCCGACTTGTTCCTGACCCACACGTCCACGTACAACGTCACACGCAGCCCGTTGGGGCCTCGCCTTTCCAGCTCCGCCAAGATCACGAAGACATTCCCCGCCTCGTCCCTCATTTCCAATTCGTGCGCGTATTTCTCCCTGTCTCCTTCTTTTCCCTGTTCCTCGGTCCCCAGGCTCACCCATCTTGTTCGGCCGAGAGCTTCATACGCTGGCCCTCCGTGCAATTTGAAAGAAACTTCTGCCCCAAGCCCCACAATATCCGCAAAGTGCAATCCTTTCTCTTCTCCGCTAGCCAGTATACCTGTTTTTATCTCTCCTGCGAGGCTTCTCGCCTTCCCAGCTTCCTTCTCTCTCCTATTGAAGCGCTCTCTCCAAGCGTACCGTACTGGAACAGGAAGAAGGTTCACTAGTGTTGCACCCGCATAGATATGGACAACATAATCCCCTTCTTGTCCTGTGTGCTCCGTGGCAGCCAAATGGAGCATAAGGGGATGTTCCTGCCCTGAATCGGCGACACACGTCGAGGACTTAGGGAAAAGAAGGGGACATGCTAAGAGGCTGCGCAACGTAGTTGCGCTGCCGAATGCCGCCTCCGGCTCGTCCCACAAGGCTCCGCTCCAGGCAAATTGATCCTCTTTCGAGGACACGTCCACTTTTATGGTATCCTCTGAACAGTACGACGCATTTGAAGACTGTGAGGAAGAGGACATGCCGGAGCTCTGCTGGTCCGTTGGTCGAAGGGTGATAATGCCTTGTCTGCCTGCCCACGATAAAGGCAAGCTGACGACTGCCCAT